CCTTGGGGCGGAGTTATCTTTTCACAGGAGAGTAAGATACACTTTAAGGTGCCTTTGACATGCTTATCCTCCAAATACAAAAAGTCAAAGAAAACATATTTATATTTAAGAAAATTAGCACAATACACATGATTTTACCCATTTTGCCACAGAACTGGCATATTTTGTCTTGAATTTGGCTCGGCAAAGTGAAACAGGAAGTGACATCAAAGGGGAACTCTTTAAGAAAAGAAACTCTCTAGTCTTTGTTTATTGAAGCAATCTTATGTAGACTCTTCTTCAACTCTGATAGTGACTCAAAATAATCTAAAGAAACATCAGATTCTTCTCTAATTATTGTAACAACGCTCTGTTTACATGCAGACACTCCCCTGTAACATCACTTCCTGTTTCTTCACATGAAAATATCTCAACAACTGTTATTCTCAACGACGTGAAATTTGTTTTTGCAATATGTTGTCAATGTTCTTTTTCCAAAAATGCATTCACATTTATTACAAAAATTTGATGTCACAGGCACTTTAAGCTCCCTCGGGTCATTCATAAAATCATAGGTGAAGCCGGCCTGGTCCCGCTCACATGTACGGGTTCAGAAATGAACCCAGCAGTGTGGAACCAAAAGAGGCACAGAGCAGATCTCATCTGGGCTGAAGTATTTATTGTGTGACAGATGTCTGCTGCATTTTATCAAACAAAACAAACATAGCAATCCTGTGTTTCAATGTTTATAAAACTAGCACAGCTGTATCATGTAGTTTTTAATATTCCCTCGGTAATCTGTTGATTAATCCTGCAGTCACTCGAGCTGACATCTGCTGAGTTGCTTTTTCACAAGTCAGTCAGCCTGGCTCTGATCCTACCTCATTTAGGGGTTCAGAGGTGGGCTCACTTTACGCACATTTCCGCCTTAGTGGTTTTTTTTTTTAAATGCTCATCGGAGGACAGAAAACGCATCAGTACCGGACTGAGCTGTCTTATGAATGAGGCTATAGATTTCAATGACACAAACTGTTACAACAGACGTAGACTCAGGTGATTAAAATTATGTAGAAAGACAAACTAAAATGCACAGCAGGTCAATCCATCCCTTTATAAAAACTAAGAGATAAGAGAAATAAAGGCAACATTTTGTAGGTAATTTTTGTTTTATAAACGGGGCTTATTTACACGAAGAAATTGGGATTTTTTGCCAGAAATCAATATCTTTTGTGAATGAGTGAAATACAGAACTATACCAGCATATCATCTTTATTTTACTGCTTACACTGACACTGCTTAAGACAGTAGCTTAGTGGGCTGTTGGAGAATAAAATTGGCAGCTCAAAATTACAAAAACAATTGATGGATTTTCAGCTCTAGTCTCATTGACTTCTGCATGTTTGCAACCAAGTGACTAACGAGCCATGCAGCCAGGTTTTGAAACTCAATGGGCCGCATGCAAGAACATGTTCGTATTCTTATCCTAAATTTCTCTTACTTTTGTTCGTACAAAGGGTTCGTACGAACATGCCACGTCAGATTCAACAAACTCTTCTATCTTCAGGAACAGTGTGTAAATGAGCTGCGTCAACTGATGAATGTGTATCAGGTGCTCGAGGAGAGGAGAGTAGATTAACATTATCACCCCAAAAACACCATGTAAGGCTATACGTTCCTGCCCCACATAACTGGAAGTGTCCATTCATGAAAATGACATCACAAAATAAAAAAGGAGAACTTTACGAGTTCAAATTGAAGTCCTGCTGTCAGAGATCCAGAAAAGAAAATCTGTCATTTTTAGCAGGTCAGACCAGGAATGA